GGGTGTTTAAAAAAAAAGTGAAGTGCTAAAACTATGAATATTCTGCTACAACATTGTTTTCCTGTGTTGTAATATATCTGAGTAGACTGTCATCGCAATTTATTTGCCCCTCATGCAGTTTTCGAGGCATTTTTGCTTATTGTAAAATATTTATACAATGTAGTGTTTATATTTAATGGTGCCATATTGACACCTAAGGCGCAAATATTAATAGTCAGTTCACAAATGTCTATAAATGTGTTACAAGCGTTTTATGAAACGCCTAGTGACAAGAACAAGAATATGCCTAGAAGCCCTTTGAAGGCTACCGTTAGTTTTGTCTGTTTGTATTTGTTTTGATTTGTTTTCGTCTTTGCAAGTTCTGTGATTCTGTATGAAATTGAACATAGTGTTTCAGCCACCGGGGATGTCAAGAATAAATATAGAGTTGTTAGAAATTACATCAGTCCCCCTTGCACCGTTTATTTTCAACTCTCCTCTGAAAAGAGCGACACACATCTGAGGTTTTGACTGAAACCTGAAGCACTGTATTAAAAGCCTGATTGCATTCCTCATCATCTCTCTCTCCCTCTCTCTTTCTAACTTCCTTCCCATCCCCTCTTCTCTATATTTAAACCCTCTTCTCCTCTTCTGCCTGTTTTGCTTGTATATCCCCTCTACCTGTCTTTGTCCCTTCAGACCCCATGGATGGTGGCTCAGGCATGGGCACCGGGGCCATCGTAGGCATCCTTATTGTTGTCTTTTTCCTGCTGCTGGTGGGCGTGGATGTCATCTGCTATTTCCTCAACAAGTGCGGGCTCCTCATGTGCATTGCTGTTAACTTCTGTGGGAAAGCTGGCCCAGGCGCAAAGAGCAAGGACATCGAGGAGGGCAAGGCGGCATTCACGTAAGCGAGTGTCATCTTTTGACTGGAACACAGATTATTTGTGGTGTGCCTACAGAGAATTAGCACATTTTCAAAAATACCCACCATCAGAAAACCTAAGTTAGAGGGTAGCTGTTGGACTTGCAGCAAATATCAACATATTTCTCAGGAGCTGACTGAGAAGAAGGCAGAGCTAAAAAAATAGAATAAATACTTAAAGGGCTTAAAGTTATCTTTTGAACCATAAATACAAATCAATGCTTATGATTTATATAACTTTAGAATAAAGCCAGTAGAGATGTGCTTATTCAGCTCACTTTACTTTGGTTGGCATTACTGGCATTTTCTCTTCACAAGGTAACCACTGGCTTCAGTGCCAAGTGCACCTGGTTACAGCAAAGATAAGGAAAGTCTCTGTTCCAATCACACGTTAAAAAAACCCCTCGACTATTGTTTTTTTACAGGGTGAAGGATTCATTTTATTAAGGAGCAGAATGACTCTATGTTTTAGTAGTTTTGGGTCCTAAACCTTACCCAGCAAGTATTAAACTGAAATGGAATCAGCGGGTGAAAGCACAATAAAATGTGAGTTACAAAAGAAAGCAGTAATGGAGTGATAACAAGGCAAAACAAAGCAGGACATGTCTCAGAGCTGAGAAACTTGTAGATTTTATCACTCTTTAACAGCTGGATCGTTAACCAGTGCACTAAACACCCATCTTAAAGCACCACTAATGTGTATTTCTGTGAGGCCAGCAGTATCTGACAGAACAACAGTATCTGATGTACTACGATGAAAAGACATTGGTTTAATCTAACTAAGCAGACTAAGTCAGCCAAATTTCTTTTTTTAACTTATACAATTCTGAAATAATAGTTTTATTTTTGTGACCAGGTTATTAAAAAGCTGTTAGTATGAGGGCTTATTAGACGCCATTGATTCCTGGGTAGATGTATGTAAGTACACACTAAAAACATGTTTTTAAGTCTTCGCCCACGAGTTCGAGACAAAAGAGCAAATTCCCAAGGTGCTGAGCTAAAGTGAAAGCAGGCAAATCTTTATATTTTATCCTTAGGGAAATTCCCTCAATTATTCAGCACCAACAGTAAATATTTAATGGCGCTGAAATGCAGTTACTGCATGTTCGCCTGTGTTTGATCAAACATTTTGTTCTATGCGCCAAACTGTCCGTCATCTCGCCAGCTCCGAGTGCAACAAATAAATATTTCAGCTCTGACAGCTCGCACAAAACAAATTTAGTGAAAGTGCATCGTGAGAGTTGTAGCGTTATTTAGCACCCTGCGTTTAAACAGGTCAGTCCCAGCAATGCACACAGCTCAGCACAATCAGAGAGCAGTGTGATGATAACACAAGACCTCAGGGAAAACCACCAATCAGAGCTTACAGATCAGTGCAGGTGGAGGATGATCAAAGAGGATGATAGGGTGAGTGCGTTTGATGGGTTTTTGTATGTTTTAGTTGACTAAAATTAACCTGTTCATTTGACATTGTTACTGCCAGATTTTTCTCTTTGTAGGGTTGAAAAATAACACATCTAGTTAAGTGCACTTAATTCATTACCCTGGTAACAATATTTCCTTTGGATAACAGCAAAGATGAGTGTAAGGAGCCTATTGTTGAAGTGAGAACAGAGGAAGAAAACACTCCAAACCAAGAAGGAGGAGGTGCCACCGAGCCCAACGAGACCACGCCATTGACAGAACCTGAGTGAGTGTCAAGAGTACAGAGAGATTAAGCAAATCGTTGGTTTGCTCTGAGCAGAAACGTTTGACAAATATAATGTTGGTCCGGCCCAGCTTTCATTCAAATATTGACCCAGTTCTCTTGTAAGGACTGTTATACATACCACAGAGCAGTGCTGCTAATTTACACTGTAAGCATTTTTTATGCAAGGCTAAAATGTCCCACTGTCTATACAGTATGTATGACCATGTATGACGCATCACACTTAACTGCCTACGGTGAACACTCAACAGAAATGATTCTGCAAGTGCTGGTCTATATGCACGGCCACAGAACCACGATGCAGGCTGTAGGCTGCATTTTTGGGTCATCTCTTAACGAAGACTTTCCAGATTTTGCCATTTTATATTGAAAGTAATACATTTGCTTGACTTCCTTTTTTTTGGCACAATTTCAAACCATTCAAATGTTATTTTTGCAACAAGAAGCAACAAGCGCAGCAAAGAACTTAACAATTATCACAGTACATTGTCGTTGAAACTTCAGTCGTCTCATTTCAAAGCCGAGCGCTGTCGAATCTCCTTCTGAGCGACTTTGCCAAGGTCCATAAATCATTCAGACACATTCAAAGTAAGAACAAACACCGCCTTCTGCTGGGAAAACTGCTTGTGAAAGACATCCGAGCATCTTAATCCTGAAACTCCCTCCATTCCCTTTATAGTTTATCGTTGGATTGTTTTATGTTTTCCCCTTACAAATATTTTGTTGCTAACATTTTGATTGTGTAGTCTCTTTTTTTTTACTGCAGCACAATAATCTGCTTTGTTTATCCCCCGACCTGCACTCTCCTTTTACCTCTTATTTTCCATGTTGTCCTTGATTCCCTCACTTTTCTGCCCTCTGCTTCCTCCCCTGTGCCAACTCCCTATCTTTCCCTCTCCTACCTTGTTTTTCCCGCTTCTCCTCACAAAACAGGCCTGCTGCTGCAGACACCACGCCGATGGTGGTAAATCTGCTGTCCTCCACAGCTGCTAACTCAGTTACTGAGAGCTTTAGCACGGCACAAAGCAGTCCTGCTAGTGAGAGAACCACACTAACAACCAACACTTCCAGCCCAACCCAAGTGGCCCATGCCAAGTCTCACCCTAAAAACAGCCCTACAGCCAATTCGCATAAATCTAACCCCCAACCTGATGTTGGACCTCTGGTTGACCTGAGCGACACCCCTAAAGTTTCCGCATCTTCCGACCCAACACCCCTTGTATCAGAGCTAGTCAGCCCACCCTCTGCTAATGCTGATGGGCCACAGAGTCCACGGGACTCAGTCAAAGCCCCTGACAGCACCCAGAATAAGGACTCACAAGTAGACGGCCCGACCAAGGATGTTCCTAATGCCCCGTGCACAGACTCGACCACACCAGCCCAAAATGAGTATGAGCACCTCCATATCTGTATTTTTCCAAGTATCTCTTTGAGCCTGATAGCATCCCTTTAGCTCATAAGTCCCTTCCATTTCAAAGGAAAAATTCCACTTATGTATTATCAGGCTTCCCCAAGCAGTTTGCACTCATCAAGCATGTGGCAGAAAATAGCAGGCAGCTTTAGATCAAGATTTGAGTCCTTAAAACTTGTTAATTAGTTTAAATTTATTTCCTGGTCTCGATATTTTCCTAAAGTCTTTCCATTGCTATTTATTTAATGATAATTCACAGTCATAAATATAAACTGTTAGAGGCCAAAGCACGGAGCCAAATAGCAGTCATAGTGGAAATGACTGTACTTGTGTTTATCTTAAAAACATTATTCTCAAAGCCTCAAACCATCATGTTTCTGAGATTAAAAACTTATTTTTTACTTTATTATATTGTGAAAGATCCCACATTTATTTATTTATTTTTTTTAAAAAAGGTAAATCTAAATGACTCATCAGTGCTTTTAAGTAGTTCTCCCTTACTGGAGGTTTTGATGGGTCTTTTTATTCCCTAAAACTATGCTGGGCTGTTGCCTGGTATCAGCTGAGGTTAAAAACATTTCCAGCAGCAAGAGTTGCAGCACACCTAAATTTCAAGACAAAAACTGTTAAAATAATTATGCAATTTAAACATTTTCAAACATTGCATGAGTAGTAAACCCAAGTCTTTTTAAAGCATGTACCCATTGTTTTTAACACTATATTGCACATTATTCAAGAATATTATGAATTTTAGGATTATGCAAGAGTGGAATTTTCCTTTAATGGTAGCAAGGATAATGATCTACTGGGATGCTACCAGTGTAGCATGCTACCAGCATGCCTGTCATCAATCAAGATCCACCACCTTCCTCCACCTGTTTGTTTATTCACGTAGTAGAGACAGATTTTCTCCTACCATACATCTAAGCCATCTCATATTCCTCATCATCATGGGCAGATTGTAGGAGAATGATGCATTTTGTTCACCTTCTGGGGCATCTAGCAATACCCACTGTCCTAATATACAAAAAATATATTCAATCATTCAAATCAGTTCATGAAACCGGGCTTTTATTTTTATTGGTGCCGACTGCAGGTATTTGAAACATTCATAGCTGGACGATGGTAAATGGGTTAGATTAAATTTACCAGAACGATGTAGGCACACGTCTTTCCTGCTTTAAGCTGCATGCACATGAGTTTCCCACTCCTTAGTGTTCTGGTTTTTGGCTTCTTCGTAAAAGCTGAGAAGCCGTGCACTCAACGTGGGTGAACTGGAATCAAACAAGATCAAGGCTGACACTTACAACTAATTCTTTTTCATGTACAGAAGATTACAACTTAAATTAAATTAGCTGATGATGTAAACATATTGCAAAATCTGTAAAATCACAGTATTTAAAATTGCTTTATAAGTTTATATTTTTAAATTAAAAGGTTTTCTTTGCTCTAAAGCCACTTGTGAAACAGCAAGATGCAAGTTTGAGTGAAAAAGACTTACAAGTACCTTCTTACGAGTGCTAGACTCAGTTTAAAACAGGATTTAATTGTTTCCTTAGGTTTGTGCAAATATCGGGACTCTAAATCTAGCCCTGAGTGCTTGTTTTATCATAAGCAACTGAAAAATATGATCAAAAGCTTTAAATTCATCCCTACAGTGTTAAAATCATATATCACATGTCAGTCTTTGTAAGTAATAAGTAGTTTTTAATTGACCTCTTAAAACAAGCAGCAGTAGGTGAACGCCAGAGACTACAACCTAAGCTAGGTGCATTTAATAGACTGTAAGTGATACTGTTAATGGTGCTTAGTTTGCCATAGCTGGGGTTCAAGTCCTGCTGCGCCATAAGAAATTTTTGTGTAGAGAACTCGGCAGAAGAATTTTCAGTTGAAATCGCTGAAGTACATTAAAAAAATTCACCAAGCAGCAGCTTTACTGTGTCCTCTTCATTGTGATAAGATAATAGATGGTGAAGGCCAAAAGAAAACTGTCAGTCCCCCAAATTTCTCCCAGACACTTCTGTTTTCTGTCTTAATTCTTGTAGAAGCTGTCATTTCAGTGGCGGTATGACAGGTTATTATTTGGAGTTTTTGGCCCTACGAGTTTGCAGATTTTCCTGATTTTTCTGACAGTCTGAGTATGGCGAGGAAGCTGCAGAAGATAAATTACAGAGGCTTACTGACAGCCACTCCTCTTTCTCTGCCTTCTTCATCTCATACTTTACTCACTTGGATGGCCAGAGGAAGATGTCAGTGATGAAGTATGGGGAGTTGAGAGGTAGTTGGAAGCAGGGCTCTTGTCAGCTCAACATCACCTTGATAAAACCAAACTTGTCATCGGGGGGATTTTTCTTCATAACTCTGACAGGACTGAAGCACAGCTCTCCCACTGATCTATGTGGTGATCCTTCTTCAGCATCCCAACACTAAAACGTCTTGTCAGACTTCTTGTGGGTTTATTGGATATCTGAGCCCTCCTCTGGACTTATTTTAACAGAAGAGACGAAATAAGAGCAGACTATAGAATATGTAGCTTTAAGAATTCCTTATTAATAGATGTTTTACACTCATTATTATTCCTAGATCTTAAATGTATCTTTAACATTGATCTAATGATGTGTCTAATGTGACCTTGACTCAACAGCCAATGCAA